CGGTCATAGTGATCCGATAATTCTTTGTGGAAAGATTATCGCTCAACGGATAAAAGGTACTCCGGGGATAACAGGCTGATGACTCCTAAGAGCTCCTATCGACGGAGTCGTTTGGCACCTCGATGTCGACTCATCACATCCTGGAGCTGAAGAAGGTTCCAAGGGTTCGGCTGTTCGCCGATTAAAGTGGTACGTGAGTTGGGTTTAGAACGTCGTGAGACAGTTTGGATCCTATCTTCTATAGATAAATAAAAAAATGAAAGAATCTAATTCTAGTACGAGAGGACCGAAGAGGGTAAATCACTGGTGTATCGGTTGTTCTAATGGGGCATCGCCGAGTAGCTAAATTTATATAGGATAATTGCTGAAAGCATCTAAGCAAGAAACCTTTCTTAAAACTTTTTTTTGAAATTGTTTTAGACTAAAACATAATAGGTGAAAAGTGTAAGTATTGTAAAATATTCAGCTTATTCATACTAATTATTTTTATTATAAAAATATAAAATAAATAATATTTATGTTATTTATATATTATTATTATAAAATTTAATAAAATAAAAAATAATATATAACATTAAAATTTTATATTATTTTTTATTTTATTAAATCAAATATTTATATTATATTTAAAAAAATTTATAAAATCTGCAATTATTTCAAAAGCATGTATAAAAAAAAAATTTATCTAAATACTTTTTCAACAAGGGAATTAAGATTTAAATATTTTATAAATAAATAAATAATATTTAATTATCAAAATAAATACAAAAAAAGCTGAATTTAAACTTTTATTTAATTACAAAAATGTAAGCTTCTTATTAGGAAGTGAAAAAAAAGAAAAATAATCAAAAATTTTATATATAAATAAGACAAAAAATTCTTTTGTATTTCAAACAAATATCTGTTCTGATATAAAATAATAATTTATGATTATTTTATATCAAAAAAGAAATTTATTTATATTGTATTATTAAGTTTATTTTTCTTTATATAAAAAAGATAAAAAGGCAACTCAAACTTTTAATTTTCCATTCTAAAAACTAATGCTACTTCCCTTATTTATAAAAAAAATAATAATGAATAGGACTTGCACTTATAACTTTAAGAGATTGTTTGTCCCACGCTCTATTAATTGAATGAAGTAAATCCTCAACCACTTTTTATTTTTATAATTTTATTTTATTAGAATAAAAAAAACTAAAAATAAATCTTTAAAGAAAAATTATGGTCAATATTTATTAAAAATACTTCCAATAATTAATTATTTTTTAACCTAATTCCATTATTTTATTTATATTGTTAAAATTAATTTTTTAAAATATATATAAAATATAATATTTATTATATTTATAATTAAATATTTTTTATTTTATCATTTATAAAAATAAATAAATTATAAATAGGTAAATACTAAATTTATATTAATATTATATTATATGAATTATTATTTATAAAATATTAAATAAATAGTAATTAAATATTAAATTATATTTTTAAATATTTCGTTAATTTGAGTTGAAATAAAATCTAATGATGATCCTTTATATAGACCTAAATTTAAATTATATAACAATTCATCTAATTTTTTATTTAATATAGCTAATTGAGCATCATTTAAAGAGCTATTATCTTCTAAAAACATTTGAAATTTTGCTTTTATAATAATTTTTAAATCAATTAAAGATAAATTTTCATAACCTGAATCAATACCAGGATTATTATTACTATTATTAAAAAAATAATATAAAAAAATTAATATTGATATAACTATTATTAAATCAAATAAAATATAGTAATAATTGGAATAAATATTTAAAAAATCTATAAATGAATTTTCATTTAAATTAATTTGTTGTTCTAAAATATCTTTTTTTATAAAATTTTTGTCAAAACTTACTATTTGTTTTAATTTTATTTCTTTGTTAAATAATACAATATCTTTATTAAATATTCTAAAATATAAAAGATAAATCATATTATAAATTTTTATTAAAATTATATAAAACATGTTTTTTTATTAGGATATATATATTATTAATATAATAATATATATATTTTTTTTTTATATTATATTATTTATAAAATTTTTTAATAATTTCAAAAACTTCTGAATAATTTTTATTTTGATTCTTTTTTTTTTTTAGACATAAAGCTATATTTATTTTATAATCAATATAATTATTAAAAGATTTTTCAATATATTTAAATTTTTTTTTCAATTTTGAATGACTCATTTTTTGAAGATAAGGCGTATTAATTTTTAAATTAATTTTTTTTAGACAATCATTTATATCAAATAACCAAGAATCTTCTTGAATTTGTTTTTTTTTATAATCCTTTTTTATAATATCTTTTATTTTCCGTAATCTTCGAATTATTGCATACTCTGACTGCAACACTTGGTACAATTTTATATAATTATAATAAAAAACGATTACATTTGGATTAACTTTATCATTTAAAAAATTAAAAATAGTTACATCTTTCGAATCCATATTAGCTAATATTTGAGTTAATACAGTTGTTCCTTCAAAATTTCCGCCCAAGGTACCAAAGAAAGAAAGTGAATTTTGATGGTGTGCAATCAAAGAACTGCCATTTAAAAAAAAAAAAAAATTGGCTAGGGGCTTAAAACCCACTAATAGATCAAATGCAAAACGGCTCTTATACAAAATTCCTCTTATTTCAGGGCCGTGTAATGTTTCATAAAGGATAATATTTCTATTAAAAAAAATGATAAAATCGCGCGCGTAGGTATCCGGCAGCCTTGAAATTTCGTTTACACCTCTATGCGCAATAATTTCCACAAATCCATAGAAATCCAAAAATTTCCTATATTCGACAAAGTACGTAACGTTGTTGGCTAAAAAATTAATTTGATCATTTGTTAAATGTAATAAGTAATCTGGTGAAAATAAGGTTTCCATGTATGTTATAATAATAATTTATATTTTATTATATAAATTTCGAGAAAAAAATATATATATATACAAAAAATATATATATATCTAACTTTTATATTTTTTATCAAAATACTCAAAAAAAATTGTAAATATTTACAATTTTTTATTAATTATAATATTTTTTAATATTATATCTTAATTTATTTTTTTTTTTTTTTATTTAAAAAATTAAATAATTATATAAATAAAAATAACTAGTAATAAATAATAAACTTTTTAATTATTTATATATTGATTTGTAAATTCAATTGCTAAATCTTTTAATTGATTTTCTAATTTTTTACTAATAATTTTTTTAGTAGAAATTTCAGTTAAAATATTATTATGTTTAGTTTTTATAAATTGTAACCAAGATTCTTCGAACTCAGCTATTTTTCTAACTTCAATTTTATCTAAAAAACCTCTAACTCCAAAGAAAATAATAACAATTTGATCTTCAACATTTAAAGGAACATTTAAACCTTGTTTTAACATTTCAGTTAATCTTACACCTCTATGTAATTGTTGTTGAGTTGCAGCATCTAAATCAGAACCAAATTGAGAGAAAGCTTGTACTTCTCGAAATTGTGCTAATTCTAATTTCATTGAACCAGCAATTTGTTTCATAGCTTTAATTTGAGCCGAAGAACCTACACGACTTACTGATAACCCTACACTAATTGCAGGTCTTTGTCCTTGATTAAATAATTCTGTTTCTAAAAATATTTGACCATCAGTAATTGAAATAACATTTGTTGGAATATATGCAGATACGTCACCAGCTTGTGTTTCAATAACTGGTAATGCAGTTAATGAACCTCCACCAATTTTTACATTCATTTTAGCAGCTCTTTCTAATAATCTAGAGTGTAAATAAAAAACATCACCAGGATAAGCTTCTCTACCTGGAGGTCTTCTTAATAATAAAGACATTTGGCGATAAGCTACAGCTTGTTTAGATAAATCATCATAAAAAATAACTGCATGTTGACCATTATCTCTAAAATATTCTCCTAAAGTACATCCAGTATAAGGTGCTAAAAATTGTAAAGGAGCTGAATCAGAAGCAGTTGCAGCTACAACTATAGAAAAAAATAAAGCGTTTTTTTCTTCTAAAGTTTTAGTTAAATCAGCAACAGTAGATCTTTTTTGACCAACAGCAACATAAATACAATATAATTGATTATTTTTATCACCTGTTTGATGAGCATTTACTTGATTAATGATAGTATCTATAGCAATAGAGGTTTTTCCTGTTTGTCTATCACCAATTATTAATTCTCTTTGACCTCTACCAATAGGAATTAAACTATCAACAGCTTTTAAACCTGTTTGAACAGGCTCACTAACAGATTGTCTTGGCATAATACCAGGAGCTTTAATTTCAACTCTACTTAATTTATCAGATTTAATTTGACCTTTTCCATCAATAGGTTGTCCTAAAGCATCAACAACACGTCCTAATAAACCTTCACCAATAGGAACACTTACAATTGAACCTGTTCTTTTTACAAAATTACCTTCTTGAATTTCTCTTTCATTACTAAAAACAACAACACCTACAACATCCGGTTCTAAATTTAAAGCCATTCCTTTAATATTACCTTTATTAAATTCAACCATTTCACCAGCTTGTATTTTTGTTAACCCATAACAACGTGCTATACCATCACTCATAGATAAAACTATACCAGTTTCTTCTAATTTTTTTTCACTTTTAAAATTTTTAATATTAGATTCAAGTATATAGGATAATTCAATAGCCATTTAAATTAAATTATTAATTTTAAATAAACTTATTAAATTATTTATTATTTTTTTATATTATTTAATTTAAATAATATAAAAAAATAAAACTCTTCAGATAGGACTTGAACCTATAACTTTAGAGTTAACAGCTCTACACTCTAACCAATTGAGTTACTGAAGATTTTGAAGAAAATAGGATTCGAACCTATGATAGAATATTCTAATAGATTTACAGTCTACCGCCTTAAACCACTCAGCCATTTCTTCTTTTAAAAGATTATAATAATATATTTATTATATATATTAATAAGCGAAAAACGGGATTCGAACCCGCGACCTTAATCTTGGCAAGATTATACTCTACCAATTGAGTTATTTTCGCTAATTATTTTTTATTGGAATATTTAATTGATTTAATAATATTAAAAAATGATTATATGAATTAGTATTATTGGTATGTAAATTTATATCAATATAAGGTAAATTTTGAAATTTTAAAAATTCTTTTTCTAATTCAAAGAAATTTAAAATATTTGAAATTTTAAAATTTAAAATATTTTTAGTTTTTCTATTAATTAATAACCCTTTAAATTCTTTTATATTTGGTAATATAAAAATTATTAATTTTTCTAAAAAAAAATACATATTTTGTTTTCTTAAAGTTAATTTACAACCAGTAATATCGCCTTTTTTTATTTTTAAAATAATATTATTTTTTTTTGATTTTGTATTTAAAACTTGTTGATTTATTATTAATCTTAATAATAAAATTATAGAAGTCATTTTTTTTTTTTCCATATTTGAATTTTTTAGACCTATATTTAATATTATTTTATTTATTTTAGGTATATCAAAAATATTAATGATATTTAATTTAGTTATTAAATCATAATTTACATTATGATTAAAATGTTTTTTAATGTGATTCATTTTTATAAAATATATGAAGATAAAGATAAAATTTTAAATTGTTTTTTTTTTCGAAATTCTGAAGTTATAGGTCCTAAAATTCTAGTCCCCATAAGTTTATTTTGATTATTTAATATTACTGCGCAATTATTATCAAATTTAATATAATTACCTATTGTATTTTTAACTGAATATTTTGTTTGAATTATTAAAGCTTTTAATAAATCACCCTTATTTATTTTAATTTTTTTTTTTTATTTAAACGTAAACTTTTTACAGATATTAAAATTAAATCCCCTATAGTACCAGTTTTTTTTTTATATATTTTTATACATTGTCCAATTTTTACTCCTGTATTATCTTTTATTTTTAATTTTGTTTCTAAATGTATCATTAAAATTGAATTATTTATTAACGAGAGTAGGATTCGAACCTACATCTTTAGGTCATGAGCCTAAAAAGTTAACCATTACTCTATCTCGTTTTAAATTAATATATTTTTTTATTAATTATATTATATTATATTAGATAAAAATGAAATATCAAAGAAGGGATTCGAACCCTTAAATTTTACATCCTAAGTGTAACGTGTTTACCAATTCCACTACTTTGATAATATTATTTATTATTTATACCTACTATTGGACTTGAACCAATAACCTTTTTTAATAGGATCAGATTTTAAATCTAACGTGTTTACCAATTTCACCAAGCAGGCTCTTATCAATTAATAAAATATGACATACTTAAAATTACATTTTACTGAATTAAAATACAATATATTTCTTTTAATATTTTCTTTTTTTTTTTTATTTTTTATATGTTCTTTATATTCTGATCAAATAATTTTTTTATTTATAAAACCTTTATTTAAATTAACTAATTTAAAATATTTTATTTATACAGATATTACAGAATTTTTTTTAATTAATTTTTTTTTATCAATTTTCCTTTCTTTTTATGTTTTATTTCCTTTTATATTTATTCAATTTTGGTATTTTTTTTCTAAAGGATTTTTTAAAAAAGAAAATGTAAAAATAATTAAAAATTTATTTTTTTTTTTATTTTTTAATTTATTTTTATTTTATTTTATTTTTATAAAAATTATTCCAAATATATGGATTTATTTTTTTAATATAAATTTTTCTAATAATTATATTTTTAATTTTTATTTAGAACCTAAACTTTATAATTATTTTTTATTTATTTTTTCTTCTTATATATATATTTATATTGTTTTTTTATATCCAATAATTATTTATTATTTAATAAATTATAATATAATAAATATAAATATTTTAATTTTTTTTAGAAAATTATTTTATTTTAAATTTATTTTTTTTATTGTAATATTAACAACTTCGGAAATATATAATCAAATTTTATTTTTTTTATTATTTTTAATAATTTTTGAGTTATTTATTTATTTAAATTTATATTATAAAAGATATAAAATATAAAAATTAATTTTTTTTTAATTTTTTTAAAAAATTATTTTCTTTAACAATATTTTTATTTTCAAAATTATTAAAATCTTTTAAAAAAGTTTGATTTATTTCTAAATTTTTAATATATTTAACTGATAAAATTTGTAAAGTAGAACCATTTGTTAATATTATTTGATTTTGATAATTAAAAAATTTATTTTTTTTTTTAAACATTTAATTAATAAATTTTAATCAATTGGCTAGATAACATAATGGTTAATGTAAAGGATTGCAAATCCTTTAATGACGGTTCAATTCCGTCTCTAGCTTAAAAAATAAAAAGGATAGAGTGGGATTTGAACCCACGGTATATTTTTATATATACTTCAGTTTTCAAGACTGATACTTTAAACCACTCAGCCATCTATCCAAATTATATATATATTTTAACGTCTTTTTAATTTTTTAGAACGACAACCATTAAAAGGTAAATTTGTTCGATCAAAAATAAATAATATTTTAATATTTTTTTTTTTTAAATTTTTATTAAAATTATAACGTCCAGCACCTCGTCCTTTTATAAATATTTTTAAAAATCTTATTTTTTTTAAAATAAGAAATTTTCTTATTTTATAGCTAATAATATGTATATTATAAGAAGCATTTTTTTTTAAGTTAGTTTTTTTTTTTAATGATTTACTTGACCATTGTTTATATAATTGACCTTTTTCATTAGTTAAACTAAAGATTGTATTTTTTAATATACAATTTACGTATAAATGTGCAATTAATTTTTTTTTTATAATATTTTTATTCATATAAATTTAAAAAAAATGTTTTAATTTTTTAGAAGTTTTAGCATTTGTATGTGTACGTTGTCCACGTGCAGGTAAACCTAAATTAGTTCTTATTGCTTTATTTCTTTTAATATTTAATAAATTATTAAATTGATCTTTTTTAATTTTTTTTAATATTTGTTCAATTTTTATATTTTTATTTATATAACTTATTAAACGGTTTATTTGATTTTTTTTTAATTGATTAATTGTTGTTTTAGGATTTATTCCAATATTTTTACAAATTTTTTTAGATTGATATTGATGTATACCATATAAAAAAGTTAATGAATATAAAATACTTTTGGAATTAGATATAGCTTTATCAAAAATATATAACATAAATAAATTTTTTATCTATATATAATAATAAAAAAAAAAAAAAAATGATACAAAAAATAATAAAACCAATAACTCCTTCACAACGTCAAACAGTTTTATTTATAAATAAATTTAGTAAAAAATTAAATATTAAAGAAAGAGGTTATAAATTAATAAAAGGTTTTAAAAGAGCAAATGGTAGAAATAACCAAGGAAAAATTACGGTGAGACATAGAGGAGGTGGTCATAAACGTTTATACCGTAAAATTGAATTCAATAGAACAAATACTAATGGACAAGTTAGTGCTATTACCTATGACCCTAATAGATCAGCAAATATTGCTAAAATTTTTGATAAAAAAGAATTCAGATATTTTTATATATTAGCACCAGAAGGTTTAAAAGAAAATGATTTTATAGAAAGCGGTTCAAAAGCTGAATTAAAAATAGGTAATGCTTTACCACTTGCTAATTTACCTATAGGAAGTATTGTACATAATATAAATTTAAAACCAAATTCGGATGGAAAATTAATTAGGAGTGCGGGTACTTCAGCTCAATTATTACAAAAAACAGATAATAATTATGCAAAAATACGTTTAAATTCTGGAGAATTACGTTTAATTTTATTAAATTGTTATGCCACTTTGGGTATTGTTTCAAATATTAATCATAAAAAAATAAAATTAGGTAAAGCGGGACGAAACCGTTGGTTAAATAGACGACCTCATGTTAGAGGTGTAGCTATGAATCCAGTAGATCACCCTCATGGTGGTGGTGAAGGTAAAACTAGTGGAGGTAGACCTTCTGTATCTCCTCAAGGTAAAATAACAAAAGGTAAACCTACTCGTTCAAAAAAAAAAAAAAATCAATTTATTTTAGAGTTTAGAAAAAAAAAAAATGTCAAGAAATAGTAAAAAATCTCCTTTTTTTAGATATAATTTAAAAAACAATAAAAAAAAATGGATAAAAATTTTTAATAAAAATTTAGTTATAATGCCTAAAGATATAGATTGTATTTTTAATATTTATAATGGAAAAGATTTTATAAAAATTAAAATATTAAAAGATATGATTGGTTATAAATTTGGTGAATTTATTAATACTAGAAAAAGATATATATATAAAAAACAAAAAAAAAAAAAATAAATGGGTCAAAAAATTTTACCAATTAGTTTAAGATTAAAAAATAAAAAAAATTGGCATTCTCAATGGATAACAAATAAAAAAAATTATTCTGAAATATTACATTTTGATTTAGAAGTAAGAAAATATATAGAAATTCTTTTTAATAATAAAAAAAAAAAGCTATATCACAAATCAAAATAAATAAAATTTCAAAAAATTTATATATTTATATTTTTGTAAATAATTATTTTAAAAGAGAAATTTTTAAAAAAAAAAAATTAAAATTTTACATTATTTAAATTCTTTTTTTAAAAATCAATATAATATTAAAATATTTATATTAAAAACTCATTTTAAATTAAATAAATATCAAAAAAATTTACGTATTTTAATTAAATATTTAAAAAAAAAAAAAAAAAAAAAAAAATAAAAAATTATTAAAATTTTTAGGTATTTGTCAAATAGCTTTTAGTATAGGTAAAATGAATATGATTTCAAAATATATTTGTAGAACTATAAAAAAAAAAAAAATACATAAAGGTTATTTAAATTTTATAAATAAAATTTTGAAAGAATTTTATAAAATGAATCCAAAAATTTTAGGTTATAAATTACAAGTAAAAGGTAGATTAAATAAATCTAAACGTAAAAGAAAATTTATTTATCAAGAAGGTCAAATACCTTTAAGTACTTTAAAAAAAAATGTACAATATACTTTTGATGAATTTATAACTAAATCTGGAGTCTGTAGTATTAAAATA